CCTCGTCGCTTGAAATGCCGCGGAATGTTCCCATCATTTTGCCCACGAGGCCTGTCGAGCCCTGCGGAGTAGCAGCAGAGTTTTGCGCTTTTCTTTCCAGCTGTTGAAGTTGATGGCGCTTCGTAACGAGCATCTCTCTGGTAGCCTCCAGACCAGTCTGTTTCCTGTTGACATCAGCCTCTGTCACCGGCCGTTTCCTCCTTGTTGCTGCATCCACGAAGGTGTGCCAGGGCGCAGACACGGACGCAAAACCGGCCAACAGAGCCATGAGGCAGATTCCCACGACGCCAACCCTCTCGAGACACTCCTTTGTCAATGTCTCAGAGGATGTCCGCTTGACGCCGCGCTCATACAGGTCCTTGGTGGCTGATTCTGGCACGGTATTGCCTACGGACCAGAAGGTGAACAGCCATGCGCCAAACAGCATCAACTGCAGAGCCCAGGCCACCTTGGGGATGGACCCCTTGGCTGTGCGCTGGAAGCTCCATCCCGCGCTGGTGATGATGGCTCGGCATTGCAGCCACGGGACCAAGACGATCAGCAGCGAAAGCAGAGACGGGACAGTAAGATGCAACGCCAGATTCTTGGCCACTGGGTCAACAACCTCCAATATTTCGGCGAGTATGATGAGGCCCAAGGTAAAGGCTAGGGCAACGGTAGCCCCGAATGTCCAGGCAGCACCTTGTCGTTTCCAGCTCTTTGCGCCATGTTCGGCGTGAGCTTGTCGCAAAGCGGGCGGGGCATGCGCAGGGAGGTAATGGTCTTCACCGTCGCGGTATTCATCGTGTGCACGACTCAATTTGGGGAATACGTGTCGTACGACGAGGATATTGACGACGACGAAGGCTGCCGCGAAAGGGAACAAGGCGACCAGCGCCTTGGAGTCGGTGATATTCAGGTCGCGGGCGGTGCAGGCGTCGTTGCCGCAGTGTGTGAAGGGCCACATTCTGCCTGTATCCTGTATGCGGCGTGAGGAGCAGGGAGAGACCACACAGAACGAGGCCGAGTAGGTGTTCGAGGGAGTAGGGTCGCAAAGGGCGTAGGATCTAGATAGCGTCAATGATGTGTTGGTTCGTCGGTTGGCTGGGGGGCAGTCGGGCAGTCGCAAGTGATGGCGGCGGGATGACGAAAATGACGATTAGGGTCGCCAGCTGGCATTCAAGGTTGGTGGTAGTACGAGGACATTGGGGAGAAGATAGCAGGGGCGGATGCAAGCGAGGGCTGTGACAAGAATGGAGCTGAGGTACGAGGTACGGAGTACGAGGTACGAGATGAGGCGGCGTGGTGATGCATTCGTACACGAGTGAGTGTATTATACGACATTTGAAGCCACCAGAGGTGCTCTGGCATAAAAAAGGAAGGAGTGGAGCAAAGCTCCTGCTGTCATGTTGACGCAGCGCTTTTTGTTAGTGCCTCTAGTAGCCCAAGCCCGCCACGCGCTGGGTGGGGCGCCAGCTAATGATGGGTGGCCCCGCACCCCAAAAGAGAATAGTGTGATTGGCAGGATTGTAAATCTCGGAGCAGCGCGTCATGTTGCAGAGTCGGCCAGATGATGTGTCGATTTGTCACACCATCTTGCAGGCGAATGTCTTGGCATGGAGCACTCTGAGAGACGAGATCCGTGGATCGTGGACAGGCACGGCATGTGCGAGGAGTATTCATCTCTTTTTGCCAGTTGGAGCATGTGTGACGTTGACCGTTGATGAAATTGAAAAGCCGTGCTTCAACAAGGTTATTTGTCAAATTATTAGCCTTGAAAGATGCACTGATCCCCTAGGCCCTTGAGCCGAGTCCCTACTCCTCGGGATTCTGACTTTGCTCGACAGCTGTTTTCCAGGCTAAATGTGTATTGAAGGCTGGCCTTGCCATCATGGCTCGAGACATTGCCACACGGCTTCCTCGTGTTGGCTCTTTGGAGGGCGCCCAAGTGACGCCAAGGATGTTAAACACGGGCGTTGTAATGGAGGATGCCCAGGCAATTGAATATCGAAAGCAGGGCAATGGTATTCCCCCGGGCGCTTATTTCTTCCAAATTAGCACCACTACAATTGAGCCGTGGACCAGTCCAGCTTCATAATGGAGTCTGGACACTGGTAGACAGCATTGCGAGTTGACTTCTTTGCTGTTGGGTTGATAGGTAACAGCAAGTGCTCAAATTATATCAGGCTTTGGGAGCTAAACACGCTGGCCAGACTTGTCGGAACAGTGACTGGCTCCGGTCGGTGCTCCGAAGTGCCCGGACCCGGGAACGGCCAACGGCACGGCGCGGCCTTTTAGTGGGTCAATGCCCGACCAAAAGAGGGCGGTATTCCGCTACCATGGGGTTTCTTCCAAGCCGTGCTCCCGTAAATGTTGATACTACTTCGGGCCTCTTGTCCTTGTCCTTGTCGTCAATCTTGGTCCTTGCGTCAACTAGCAATTTCACTACGTCTGCGATACCAAATCTCAGAGCTAGCACCAATGAAATGAGGAAACGCCAAAGCTGTCCCTGAGGTTGATATTGATTAGAGTATTCTCATTTTCATTCCGTACTTGTATCATAAGGGACATGGCCCGTCGCAGCAACCCCCTCCCGAGCTCGCTTTTGGGGAATCAACACACCACTTTCAACGACATCCCTCAACTTGCGCTCTTTCTCGACCGAGTTTGGAGGAAGCTGATAGAAAAGGCGCCTGGCACACGCAGCTGCCATCATTGCCGCATAGCCTTGCTACTCTTTATTTTCGTGTGTATCGGCACAATCGCGTATACCGCGAATAACCGAACAAGGAAACCTGTTCATCAACCCGGCCGCCTCCATTTCAAAACACACCATCCCATCCCCTAAAGCTAACTTATCTCGAAGCATGGCATCCTTTCTCAGCGAACTCCCCGGCGCACCTACACCGCAGTGAATCGCGGGGTTATCCCGACGAGAAGAGCGCTGTTTTCGCTCCATCAGCTTTTCAAGCCAAATGCCACATACTTTTTCACAGCATCCTTCGTTATTGGGGGGACGTATGACTTCAGATTTAGACAGCCGGTCAGTAGACAGGTCTAGTTTCCTAAATTTGTCTCGCGGGCGCCTTTCCCGCAGAATTGCCTTGATGGTCTTGCCAAACTCATGGCTCCGTTCCCTATACTCAGTCTGCAAGGCGGCCACGACGGACAGCCCGTAAAAACGACGGCAGAAGATTGAGCAGCCCTTGCCTTGCGTGCTCTTGGTTCCGGCCGCTCCCCATGTCCAGAAGAAGAGGGCGGACAGGGCACCAGAAAACCGCTTCCATTTATAAAACATGGTGATATTTATAAACAAAAAAAAAGGTATCCCATGCCCCCGCAGCGTATTCTCAGAACGGTATTGCAGTCTCGGCGCCTTCATCGTGATGCCACATTGAAACACACGAGCAAATTGTAGCGGTAGAATGTGCGCGGCTCCGATGTCCCGTCTAAACGCGGCCGTGGCACCAATAGCACAGAATAGCCGACGGCGGCGGCGGTTTCGCACCGGACCGGTCAAGCTCGCTTCTGCTACTCTCAGCCCAGCCAGTGCCTGCATGTGCTCCGATTGATTCCATTTGAAGGCCTCAAGCTGCAAAACACGTACCAGTCCGCCCTCGGCCCGCGTGCGTCGTCGTAAACCACCAGTGACCACCGTGTTTGCCGCCGCAGCACTCAGCAGCACTCAGCAGCACCAGCTTCATGGTGAGAAACCTACAAGTCGCCCAAACCCCGGGTTGACAATTTGGAAATTCAATAATGTATAAAAAAAGGGGGGAATCGTGAAAAAAAAAAGGCCAGATCGCAGCGCGCATGACAATTTATAGCAAGCGGGCTATGGTCAACATTTGAACAACCTTCTTCTTCCTTCTTCAACCCGCCTGATACGGTCCAGTCTGGTAACGCAGACACCGGGCGGTTCTTGGACAACCACCTTTTCCCTGCGAAACGGGCACACACGACCAAACGCAACCAGACGGCATACTAAGGTTCTCGCAAGAAAAACGGCACCAGTGGCATGAATCAATCACCCACAACAATCATTGGTGGCACACCGACAAAGAAACAAAATGCGCCAACACTGTTGAATCGCTTTGCTTACTGCAATACTATCTGCTTCTACAATAATTATGCACCGCTATGCCATCCTATTCCCTCCAACAGCAATGCCACTTCCAAAATCGAGAGACCATCTCACGCCGTCGCTTCTACCGGGCAGAGTGTTTCTCCTCGTGTGCCGCACCCTGACCCTCTTGCCCGGGCAACACAGACTCGTCAGCCCCGTCCACAAACGACGCGCCTTCTGCTTGCCCAACCTCGGTTGTAGAGACTTCCTCTTCCGTCGCGCCACTCTCACATCGCTCACAATGCGCTCGTGTTGCGAAATCCGTAGCAATAATGTTCTCGTCCAAAAGCCCTTGTGCCTGTCGTCCATCCTCAGCTGCCTGGGCAACTTCTCGATATCCTCTGCCTAGCCATGCCAAAAACAACCGGTTTCGTCGTAACCTGCCTTCAACAGGAGTCTCTTTTCTCTTGGAGACAGAAGGCGCATTGTCTGGCCCTAGACGACCAGGCGCCGAGCGAGGCCGCGCGAGTCGTGCAAAGTCATCCATGGGCATTGGATATGATGTTTCCGGGCTGCGGGGCGGCATCAGGGAACCCAGGTCCGGCTGATCAGGCAGGACAACGACATTTATTTCCAGATCGAAAGAAGAGTTTGGCGCCATGTCAAGATCGTCGCTAGGGTTGACGTCTTTCTCTGTTGCTTCTCTAGAGGCAGAAAATGGCGTGGCCAGCCGCCCGCTTTTTTGCATCAAGCTATGCGACTCCTGCGCAATCTGGTTTGATGCTGCGGGGACGCTTGCAGCAACGTCATGGCACGATCTTCGGTGTCCAGGTGTTCCGCATCGCCAATCCATTGGATAATGACGTCTGTGTGTCCCGTCGTCACAAGCCCCGTCAAAGCCGACACTGGTGTAACCAATGTCGTCAGAGTCCAACTCGTCACCAAGACGCGGCTTCTATGACGCCTCTTTGAGTTCTTGAGCTTCATCCGACTCCTCTTCTTCTTCATCGTCCACGCCCTTTCTAAGGGCTGCGGCTTCCCCAACTTCCATCTTGTGCAGTTCCAACTTCTGTTGCTGGTTGAGGACATCCATTCCGTCGACAACGTCAAATTCTTCCTCCTCCTCTTCCTCCTCTTCTTCTGTATCGCCGCCGGCGCTGCCTGGCGACCGGTCAAGTGGCGGTCGCTCTGGAGTCCCGTTCACGGCGGGATGGGGGCTCGAGGGTCGAGACCTCGGGAGTAGACTGTCTCGCAGCGGTTTAATAGTAGGATCAAAGGCGGCAGGCAACCCCAAGGCCTTTGCGACTTGGTGCGCCTCTTCGTCTGGGGAGGCCTGTGGCTCGAGTTCATAGGTGCTGCTCGTTTCGCTATCGGCTTCGTGGAGACCATGACTAGCGGCCAGCATTCCCAGGTATGTCTGGCGAGTTGTGTCGTTGGCACGCTTGACCTTCTTTTTTATGCGCTTCTCTGTAGGCCGAACAACAACAACAGGAACGGGTGAGTATTGCAGGCAGTACTTGGAGAAGGAATTCCGGGCATTGACCAGTCCTTGGATGCCACCAAGGGAGCGACCTTTAGTGCCAACAATGAGCATGGCAGGCTGGTACATCTGGATCTGCAAGGGGACAGTGGTCAGTGTCTCATCTCTCTCTCTCACACACGCACACACACACAAATGCAATGTCTGTCGGTAGGCCCAAGGGTGTACGAACCAGCTTTTGGAAGGTCGCATGCAACTTTCCCACGGCATACTCGAGCACAAAACTAATGGCATGGTTGGAAGCGTTCTTGGCCAGAATGTTCTGCATAACGGTTGCAGCGTCCTCTTGGTATTGCTTATCATTGTAGCGGATTTCCTTCTCAATGACCCGAACACAAACAATTTCGTCGCCATCATCGACCAGCTCATCTAGCAGCCACTGAATGGCATAGTCAGAGTATGAGTGCTCGTCGACGCCAACCATGAAGCTGCGCGATCTGCGTCGAGCCTGATATCCCTTGTGCCGAACGTTGAGGGTCAACGAGAGGGTGTTGTTCTTGGTAGCCTCGCCGCTGGGGACATTGTCGAAACCAACGTGGTGCTGAAACCTATCGTTTTTCGTCTCGGTTAGCGTCGCCATTGTGCGAATTGGTTACAGCCTTGGAGCCGCAGAGTTCGGCAAACATGTAATTGAGGAAGCGATTGAAGAGAGCAAGAACGGCAAAAGTGCGACAGGTCAGGAAGATGCAAAGAAAGAGGAGTAACAGCGCCGGGATGTGAGGCTCAGACTTGGGCAGTGAGCATGTGGGTAGACAAGACTGGAACAGACGACATTCGAAACTATGACTCCACCACTGTCGTGGCGGCCAGAGTAGCCTCGAGCTAGTCTCGACATGTAGCCGGAGCCGGGTTGGGCTGCGGCCAGCCATTAAAAGAGCCTGCCTGGCACCAGACACTGGGAAGGATCCTGCCTGGTCCAGTGACCGATGTGTGCTACCCTCACTGTAGGTGCTGCGCCGCTGCCTGTCCAGGAGGGTCCAACCCCGCGGCGTCTCTGTGTGTGCATGTCTTCATGGTGGCGATACGGAGCAATGCCTCGTGCGCCATGCCTGGCTTGGTCGTGACGGCCAGACGGCTCAGCAAGGCTATTGCTGGTTGACAGCGGGGTAGGCTAGAGGCACTGGGCGGATGTGGACGGAGTGGGCAATGGCCAGAGTTGCAATAGAGGGCCGGCTTCAGACACAGCCTGGTCCAGGTGGATCCCTCGCTGCCCCCAAACGACGCTCGCGGCCAGCCCGGGCGCAGGCGAGAGTCTGCCATGTGCAGTCCTCACTCGTAGCAACAAGCGCGGGTCGCTTTGGTATGCGGATGCGGCCAAGACGTTTGGGAATGCGGCCAGGCACACTGGATGATGAATGAGCTGCCAGCCTGTCTGTCCCTGTGCATACGTGCAGCATGCTGAGCAACGTCGCTGTCGCTGCCATCGACCGCACTGCCAGCCCGCAGCCATGTACTGTCCAGTCTGGTACGAAGCAGGCGGGAGGCCTGGATGGCCGACAGGACGGTGCGTCCAGCCAGCCAGATCTCAATGACCAGATCTAAGGTATTCGTTTGGCTTGCGGGATCCGCCGCTATGCTTCAATGCCAACCCAGCAGCTTGGGAGCGGTTCCACTCCACCGTTCATCGCCATGTGGGCCATGGTCGACGTAGAGACAGCTCACAAGCCCCGAGTTCGACTCTTGTTGGATCCAGGCAGTCAAGCGGTGGTTACGGCAAAGACGGCATTGCGCCCAGCGCATCCGTCATGTCGAGTCCGGGTAGAGATGCCGAGTTGGTGTGCACAGCATGAGAGCTGACCATGGAGCAAGACGCAGCGCAGGGGTCAACTTTGGGGTATAAAAGCCGACGACCCCGTTTTGCCATGACGGAGACCGGCTGCGTTGGTCACCTTACAACCTGACGCTGGACAAACACGGTCTCGTGCTCTGGTCTTTTGGCATACCAGTGTGCACGCGGGCAGCAGACAATGAGTGAAAAGGGTAGATGGCATGTGTGGGATTTGGACAGGGAGATGTCAGGACTCTTACCGTTGAGGCGGCGGAGACGCATTTCGAATGCGCAAGCCATGAGCAGTTTGCTTAGAAGTGCTCGGTGCGACGGACGGGTTCCTCGAGCGTCGAAATGAAATGGACGACACAGACGATTTCCGCCCAAAGGAGCTCTCGGAAAGCGCATCGGTGGGGGTTCGATCTGAAGGCGAGTGATCGGGCTTCGGCAACTCGTCCGGGAACGATATGGAGGCTTTCCTCACGTCAGCTGAAAAACCATCTTCACTGGACCCTTGCTTGATGTCGAGTTTAGACGGCGGAGGAAAGTAGGAAGCCGAAGCATCAAGCGCGGCGTTGAATTTCGCATCGACAGACTTGGTCGTACCCGTCTCGGTGTTGATCTTGGCAACCGTCTTGGTAGCCAGCTTGGCATCGGGTTGGACACCCTTTGGCGGCACAGAAGACATGGGCGACATATCTGAGTCGGAGCCATGAGCAAGACGCGGCGAATGCATCATAAACGAGAGCCGCTTGAATCGAGACGATGCTCCTCCTCCTCTTGCTCCTCCTCCTCCTCCTCCTCCTTCACCCTCCATAGGCGGACTGGTATCGATATGATGGCTGCCAAAGACTGATGACTTGGGGCGACCGGCGAAGGTGAGCATTTGTGGCGAGAGGAAGAAGGCGAGAGGGAAAAAAGAGATGTTTAGGCAGAGGGACGATGAGCAAGGGAGGATAACAAAAAAATATTGTCACCAAAAAGAAAGTGGTTAAACGGAGAGGCCACCTCGCAGGCGTCGGTCGAATCTGAAATATCAATGTCAATGACCAAACTCGACGCCTGGTCCTGTCTCGATTACTATTATTCTCCCGGATAAAACGGTCCCCTCCCAAGGGCTCGCGGACGCTGGGCTTCAATGTTGTGGTCCGCAATCTAAGACAACAAATCTGCAGCAAGACCAAGTCTGGGCAGCTCTGGGCAGCTTTCGGCACAGATGTGCCGAGAAGTCGAGACACGAGATACACAGTCGGGAAGGTGCAGGCAGGTTCGTGCCGCAAAGGTACCGAGTACTTTTGGCAGAGAGTAGTATCGGACGAGGGGCCAATGTATTAGCAACCGAGACAGCAGGATGATGCGATGGTGAGATTTTCCATCTGTAGTCGGAAAGGATGCGCAGGGCGTTTTTTTTTTTTTTTTTGATAAGGCGGCTACTCGTGGTTTGCTGGGAAACGGCGGAATGCGGCTCGTGGAATGGTCTGGTGCTTTGAACCCCAGATCTGCAATGCAAGCACGGGGAACAAGGTTAATAAGAGAGATCTGGAGAGCAAAAGAAAACAAATAAATAAAAGAAAAAAAAGTGGCTGGCACAAAAAAGAAATCCCAGGACAATAGGCAAGATGCCGCCAACAACAAATGGGAGAAAAAGAGGTCAACCTGGTACAATTGAACAGAGGACCCCGGTCTGCTGTACGCTGTGGTGCTGGGGATGCTCAAGCTTGGGCCGCGCAACGGTCACTTGGATGATTACCAGTTACAGAGTCGAGAATCAATGACCGCCAATCCAACAGCCTTCAGTGCCAAACATGTGCAATGATATTGCCTGTTTGGTTTTTTTTTTCCTTCGTCCCGTGAGTCGTGAGGCCGAAGCACAATTGCCGGAATGTCGTTGAACCAAAAGGGACCAGCGGGTTGACGATGGAGCTTTTTGAGCTCTCCACCTGGGCAGGCAATTTGATGGGCAAAAAACACCAAAATCAAGCCTAGGGCGAGCAAAGGGGGGGCGCTTTGTTCTTTGTAGGATTTTTCCGCCAACGCACGTGGGAAAGGGGGACCTCTGGCAGCGACGAATCCTTGATCCTAGTCCGCAGTGATCTGACACCTATTTATTTAATTTTCTTCTCTCCTTCTCCCTTTTCGTTTTGCTTCCTTGAGGGGCAGTGTTCCGGCGCAGCCCTGTGTTCCCCGGTAGAGGAGCTCCCGGCTTAGCGTCGTAAGGCAGACGTCGCCCTGTCCTTGGGCAACAAGAGCAAGGATCCGGTAAATAAGCAGGACTCGGTTCCCCCCTGACTATTGGTGTCCGGGAGACGAGGTTCAAGACGGAAATAATTTTTTTCACAAAGAAAATGATAAAAGAAATGGCGTCAAAATAAAACAAATACGACAAGTCTCCGACGAAAAGGTGGCCGTGAGTTTGTGAGAGTGTCTGGTGCAAAAATACCGAGGTACCCTGGGCAATGTCTTGCCTTGCTGCTGCACCTCTGGTTGAGTCAACAGGTCAATGACCTAGGTACGCAGTCGTAGTATTCATCACCTGATGCCCCCGTAAGGCCCGTGGTTTAAAAAAAAAGATGGTTTAGGATATGGAATCAATAGCTGGCAAACGGGGCAACCCTGACGTCCGGACGTGGCGCCAGCTAAACCTTGGCACCTGGTGCTTAAAGAAAAAAAGAAAAAGAAAAAGAGGTCAAGTCCAACGAATCGAGTCGGCCGTCCGTGGCCACGAAGAAGCTCGGACAAAAGAGCTGCAAGTTTCACAGCTCCGCTCGCAGGCAGATCAGATCTCAACAAGATGGCGGATGGTAATGCATGACAAATTGGCCGCCGGACGTGGTATGATGGTATGGATGGTACGATGTCCTGTTTATGCGCCTCGACGGTGTGATGTGAGGGATGGTTCTTTTCGTTTTGTCAGGCCCTGCGCGTGAGAGGCCGCGATGACGATCGGTCAAGGACAAATGCTCGCAGGTTTCTATGGCTAATCAGGAGATTAACGTTGGATTTGCCGTCAAAAGGGCAGTTGCCGGAAATGCCTGCCTTGTCGTTTTTTTTATTATACTCGGTACCCCGTATATCAAGTCACTTGCGAATCAGATGTGTTGTGTGGTACAGCATGCTATGCCAATTCGTGTTGGCCGACGGGCTAATGAGCGTTGGGGAATCGCTCCATGTCCCGTGCTGGGTGTACCAAGTGCTTAAATACATACAATGGCACCCATCAGGCCGCACACGATGAAGAGCAAAAATTGCCGAATACTATCCATCTCCTACGTGCTACGGAGTGGGATTGCCCCCAATGCCTGCCACATGTGCGTTGATGTGTCTGCATAATGCCACGGCTTGCCATGTCGGGGCGAGGCGCCAGGTCGGTCTCAGCCAAGCTTGAGTCGACGGTCTGTTTAGCCACACATGCAATGCATCTGTGGCGTGGGCCTGCCCTGCAGTACGTGAAACTGCACTGCGGAGTTGTGGTTCAATGCTGGCACTTGCCACACAAAACCACCGCCTGTGCTACATCGCACACCGTTTTCCGTTTTCCAACATCCAGTCTAAAGTCCCCCGGCATTGCCTTTTGTCCTTGGGCGATGGATGCAAAGGTGCTGCATGTCCAGCAATCGCCCATCTCCTCGCCGCCAAGATGACCAGGACAGCTCCGTCTCCCAGGCAAGCAGTGTCGCAACACCAGCCCAGGGCATCGCAGATGGAGGTGGTGGGAGGCTCCGCCGATGGTGGTGCGCCAGGCCTTGGCGCAGCCAAAAGACATGATCGAATCCGGAGCGTCTTGCGTTCTGAAATACGCCCAGCGCGGCCAGTTCATCAGCCATGCCCCTTTGGATTTAAGCATACATGATACATGCTCCCATGCTCGTCCCATTGCGGGCCAGCCGCCGTCAATAATGATGGATGTGACGGACGGGTCAAGCCCAGACGCTACTTTGCACAACAGCATCGTGGGGGCCGCGGCCGCCTCCCAACATCAGCTTTCCGCCACATACCCGAAAACACAAGGTTTTGACGCTCATGACAGTGTGATCTAGGTAGCTCGCATTTTGCGGACTTGCACGTCGTATATCCGACCCTTGACCGCTCAAGGCAGGGACGCAACGCCATCAGCCATTCACACTGCAAATACGGCATGACTGGGCCAAGAAGCAAATCTGTTATCATGCAAACCGCCAGTTCCAAAAACATACCATACATACTCGGTACATAATTACATGTTGGTTGCCTCCGCACACAAAGGTTTACGAACGGGAGTCTTGCGAATTCGTTGCCAATGCAACCTCGGCGGGATCAAAAATGGCCTTATGCCAAGGCGGCGCCTCCGCATCTTTCGGAACGCGGAAGTCCAGCGCAAAGAAAGAGGCCATTATCACAAGGCATGAATCCAGTCTTGTGTGCAAGTATGCTTAGCATATGGGCGATGGGAGAGGCTTGGCGGTTCAGATCGTCCATTCAACCCACATGACAAGCCGGCGCAAGGGGCCATCATCTCTCCACAAACCACGCTGCCGCCTCCCAAGTGCAATACTACTAGCACTATCTTGAATACCATTGTTCATTATACCGCTATCCCGTCTGGTCCCATGCCGTTGAGCAAGACCCCGCGCACGCCCCCATCCACGTCTGCCCGCGGAAACGCCCCCCCAGGATGCGCAATGCCGGTGCAACGGGAAGCAACGCCGTGTACATAGGGCTTATCGACCTGCCGATTAGCCATCAATGATACGGCACGCAGCATCGACAGCCAGTGTGAGTTCCCCCGATTTGGCCAGCGATATGATATCGTCATCTCCCGGCCCTCCAGAAACACCCGGGGCCATTCCCTGTCCCGGACTCGGATGGGAAAAATAACCACGTACGAGGCTGTGTAGTTTATCACCATCAACAAAAGCACCAACTTCTCCTTGCCTCTTCCTCCCCCCGTCGCATCTCAGAGAGAACGGAATCCGACCGAGTGAGCGGTTCGGCTGTACAGCCAGGGCCCCCGCCTTTGCCCAGCGCGTTAATGCCAACCTTGCCCCGGCCTGGCTGCAATAACAGAAATGGGTAGATCCGTGACTCTTGTTTTTTTTTTCTCCTTTTTCCCACAGACGAGCTAATTCCCGTCCCAGGCTCCGACAAGAGCACCAAGATGGAGGGTGGGGGCTACACAGCTTCAAGCAACCTCGTGCAATTGTAATTAACCGCCCTTTTCCCCATCCTTGTCCGCAGCCGGCTGCCTCCCAAGCCTCAGCCCAAGCGACCACACCCAGACGGACTTGTTTGTGTCCGGACATGGAAGGGCTTGGGCTGAAAAGAGCGGTCCTGTCAAAGGAAAAAAAGTTATCGTTTAAGCTTGAACACCTGGCCATCATGTGCCGTCATGTCTGTGGCCCCCGCTCCTGTCTCTCTGTCTGCCAGTTGGGGTTCCTTTGGCGCCCACCCAAAACTCCGGGGTTGAGTGTCTGTGCCGTGCAGTAGCTTTTCTCTCTCTCTCTCTCTTTTTTCCAAACTCGTGGCCATTACCAAGGGAAGACCTTCTTGACCGCTATTATACAAAAATGCGTCGCCGGCCAACACGGTCCAGGGTCTGTGGTGTTGGTCAGAGACAAACCCCCATGAACCGGAAGCGTAGCCCGGAGCGGAACCCGCGTGCAGCACCGAAGATAAAGTGATTCAGTAGGGGTCAGATATCTCTGCCTTTTCACCACGTGGGTGTCCGGCAGGGCGCTGGTCCTCGCCAGCAACCTGTCGTACATTCGTATGTACATACATACATGCGCATTACATGGGCATACATATGTACGTATGTACATGTTGGACCGGCCCTCGAGGAGCGCCCTGGTGCCAAAGTAGGAAGTGACACGTTTCATTGACCTCGGCAAACCAGCGTTGCACAGCAGA